ACGATCTTAATAATATTCAATGAACAAAACTATTATACAATGTAGTAGTCTGCTTGATTGGTATATAAACAGAGTATGTTTAAAATATAAGGATTCATATCGCAGAGGCTGAGATTGGTGTTCTGAACTTAACCGGTTGGTCTAAGCAGAAAGCAGGACCAATCAAAACTCTAGGCTTCTAATACGGGTTTCTGCGTCATTGATTCGGTCGTTAAGTCACTGCTCTCTAATCGGCAGTCACAAGGTATGTCTTTGGACATAAGTAGTATGTAACGTCAATGAAGAGAGGAATGCATGGTAAATGGCTATGAAGCTCGTATTAAGAAGAAACAGACCTAGAAATAGAAAGGAATTGTGACTTTGAAGAATCATACAGTGTGGTAAAGAACACATAATAAAATTTTGCAAATGAAACATTTTAATGTATGGCATTCATATTTTGACGAACATATTGTATAATTTTTTGTCGAAATACATTTACAGATTGAAATCATGAGTCAGTTGAAGCTAGATCACCAGTAAAACCTGGAAGCACTGGACGGCCGTTTCGTCCTAGTATGGGCCTACTCAGCAGTGTGCATCCACGATCCCGCACCCGCGGGGTTCGAACCCAGGACCTACTGGCTTCACGCGTGAGCACTTAACCATTAGACCACTTAGCCGGGATCATGGATGCGCACTGCTGAGGAGTCCCATACTAGGACGAAACGGCTGTCCAGTGCTTCCAGGTTTTCAATGATGGTCTAGCTTCAATTGACTCATGATTTCAATCTGTGAAAACTCCTAAAATCTCCACAAACCCCTTCTGAGAAATACATTTAGTTATTTCCACTTGTATTCTCATTCATAACAAAAATACTAAGTAATTGGTTTATTAAGTTAACAGTTTTAAACAAGACATAAGCTAAGAAACCATGGTAATTATTCATATAACTAATCAAATAAGTATTATATACAAAGAGGTAATAGTTCAATTACTGTCTATTCATTATTTTACTAATGAATAAGAATAAATTTACAATCATAACCAACTATCTAGAAAGAGTGATTAAGATTTTCAAGACAGATATACATCAGGAAATTTGTATTCTGTATTGTTAAGTACTTTGATAAGTTATATCAACTTTTCCTATAAAATTTGTAAATAGTTTAACAATATTATACTATTCAGAAATTCTGAAAGCACCAAATGGTCATCTTGATTTAATATGATACTTTTCAGCATTGTATTCCTTCAATACTTTTAGATTTTCAATAATGGTCTAATATGGATTAGTTGGTGATCTCAATTAAAATTCTACAATCTTCACAATTCTATATTTATTAAGATTTTTTTTAAAAATGTAACAATCAAAATGAGGATTTATAGGAGATTTTAGTAAATTTCATGTCCCATTTGCAAGGTCGTGAATGTGCAACTGTTCAGGAGTTTTATACAAGGATGAAACAACTGTTCCAAGCTTTCAATGATAGGTCTAGCTTAGATCAATTCATGAATTTAACCATTAAAAATATATAATTATTGTTTTGTGTTATTATTATTAATATTATTGTCCTGGTAACATTACTCCCCCCCCTTTAATTTATTACGTCATTTTATAATTACATCATTAATCTATTTTCAGTTATTTCATTACATAATAATCTAATGTGTTTTAATTCCATGATTTCTAATCACTATTTCAATGTTCTGGAACCTTCCCTCTCAAACTCTATATATTCGAAACCAATAATTTTATGACCTCATTAACTCTAACGAAATCTTGGCTACATCATGATACACATATATTCATCCTTCATCACCCTCTGATGTATAAGTATTGTCAATATCTATAATAACGTTGAATTTCAAATAATTTAGGTTGTAAGCAGCTGATGAGAACCTAACGAAATCAAATGAATTCATTTACTGTTCTGCACCAATCATTGTTCTTGTTCTCTTTAAAAAAACCTGAAAACACTGAACGTCCGTTTCGTCCTAGTATCGAACTCCTGAGCAGTTCACATTCACGATCTTGCAAGTAGAATACAAAAATTTACTAAAATCTTCATAAATCCTCATTCTGATTATTTTGATATTGTTATTTAAGGCTGTAATTGATCAATCTCATGTTGGCATATGTGAAGCCTGTCCGGATTGCATCGATATAGACTTAAATTACAAGCTTATTAAGAAATGATGGATAATGGCTATCAGTGGAATCCAATTTAATGCACGTTTTGTCCTATTTTGGAATTGTCAGTTGGATGTACTTGTATCTCAAAGTTGATGTTTACTCTGGGACTCGAACCGAATACCGTTCGCTTTAAACACCATCGCATTATCCACTTAGCTATCAAGTTCTAAATAAAAATGTGAAGATACAAGTAAAGTAATACGAACTGGATTTAATCTTCACTTCATTGCATAAACAAGTGGATAACGCGATGGCATTTGAAGCGAACGGTGCCGGGTTCGAGTCCCAGAATGAACATCCATTCTGAGATGTAGGTGCATCTAATTGACAAGTCGCAAATAGTACGATGTATCGCGCTTCCTGAATTCCACTGCTAGTCACTATTCATCTTGGTTTAAACAGATTACTAGTATAGATTACTTTTTTTATCTTGATAATTGAATTCAGTAGAATGATTAAGAATAGAAGTGATGTTTTCTTTCTTTCCTTTTTCTTTTTTTTTTCAAAAAAAAATTGTCAAACAAAAAAGGAATCTAATTGATAAATTATGATCAGCTGACAATTAAATGAGTTACCAAGTAAACAAACATTCCACACTTATTAGTTAGTTACCATAAGTTAATAACACTGTAAATTATGATCATTAACAGTATAGATGACTACTAATGAATCGATTTTATGACATTCATCTACGTTGTATATTAATGTTTAACGCTGTTTTTACATCACCACTTCATCAAAAGTGATTGATAGAGAATTATAGATTGAAGTTGTGTGTGTGTGGGGGGGGCGCCGTTAAATTATCAAAATGATGTGTTCATTTAATTGATTTAAGTAACTATTTTGTTTGCTTAAAAAGAAAATGTCACTTCTTTCTATGTATTGGTTTATCAGTAATAATGAAAGAAATTCAGTTAATAATATCAGTGATATCATGAACTAATTACTGTTACAATGTGGAAGCATTGAGTAGCCGTTTTGTTCTAGGACTGGACCCAACAATAATGTTCATCCACGGTCCCTTACTAAGAGTAATCGAATTCAACACCTTTTGATTTGGTGTGTAAACACTTAATAACCACTACTACATTACTATATCATCATTTAATAATGTTGATATGTTAATTCAATCAGTTCACGACATTGTGTTTCCAGTTTGTATTGTAACTAAATGTACCACATTCGATAGTGATTAGCTCGATTAGTTATAGCTTTTCATTAAAACTTCAAAGATTTCTTATCATTAATAATGTCATGAAAGAGTTATGACTATTGAATTTTATTACAATCATGAATTGATCCAGCATACAGAATCATAAATTCGCATTTCTAAGGAATCTCATAATAGTATGAAACAATCATGCCGTGCTTGGAGTATTTCATTAGTGATCTAATTTATAATAATTTGTTAATCAAAACAATTCTTAATTTGGAAATCTATTATTCAGAATTAGAACATAGTTTCAATGATATCCAATTATCAAATACTCACAATGATAAAAGAATTTTCAATGCTCTATATTAAGTTAACTTCTAACTAGATATAAATAAGGTTTAACACATTAGAAGGTGAATGTTACCCATTTATTATTATCAGTTTAGGGATTGTGAAGATATTTAAGTTTTTGATCGAGATCATGAACCGATTGATGTTAGACCATCACAATTGAAAACCTGGAAGCACTGGGCGGCCGTTTCGTCCTATTGTAGGACTCTTCAGCAGTGCACATCCACGATCCCGCTCGCCGGATTCGAACCCAGGGCCTTCAGTCTCGCGCGCGAACGCTTAACCTACTGGACCACTGAGCCAACCGGAATCCAATAGTGACAGTGTCTAACATCAACCAATTCACGAAGTTGCGCGACCATCTTCCATTGTACAGAGGTAGACACTTGTTTCTACCCGACACGGATTAGCTCCACTTGTCACGGCTTCTCACTAGAACTCCAAGAATTTTCTCACGAAGCTAGTCACTAGTGAGCATATGGTAATTATCAGTTTAGAGGTTGTGAAGATTGTTAAGTTTTTGATTGAGATCATGAACCGATTGATATTAGACCACCACTGAAAACCTAACATCAATCGGTTCATGATCTCGATCATTTATTATTGTCAATTTTAGTAATTTCATAAAACAATTCACGTAATTATAATCATTTTGATTTATAATTCAGTGATAATGATATAATTCATTAATTTTGGTTGAGATCATGAATTAATTGATGTTGGACCACCGTCGGAAACCTGGATTGGTTGATGTTAGACACTAACACCACTGGATGCCAGCTCAGTGGTCTAATGGTTAAGTGCTCGGGCGCGAAGCCAGTAGGTCCTGGGTTCGAATCCCGCGGGGTGCGGGATCGTGGGTGCGCACTGCTGAGGAGTCCCATACTAGGACGAAACGGCTGTCCAGTGCTTCCAGGTTTTCGACGGTTATCTAACATCAATTAATTCATGATCTCAACTAAAAACTTAACAATCTCCACAACCCCATACTGATAATTCATTAATTGTTTTTATCAATAATTAATTAGTTCATGCTTATACATTTTATGCTTTAACTTGAAATTCTGTAGGGAAATAAGGAAAAAGAGAAAAAAAGAAAGACCAAAGAACACTTTCCATTGAGCGTTGAAAGTAGACATTAAAAAAAGACGAATAACAATTGGAAAAGATCCTCGAAGACAAATGTTGATAGACGGTCTATATTCGTTCACGATGGGTAACAGAAGTAAGTAAGTAAGTATAAATTATATATATATATAAACATTATTTCTGATGCATCTAAGTAGATATAGTTTTAGCAACATTTGAAAACTTACCACCTGCAGGAGGTACAAGTTGATCTAATAATTTATTACTTGTTCTTTTCCATATTTTTTTAATTACAGCACGAAGTTCTTCATTTAATTGATCAATGGCTGCACCTATATCATATAATAATAGTTACTATTATTATTATTATTTATATGAATATTCGTCAAGATTAAACCGAATAGTTTGACAGAAATTGGACGCCGACTAAAGAGAATTCATTATATGTGAAAATTATATTTGAAATAATCTCAGCAATTAAAATGTAAATAATTCCAACGTTTCGTCCAGCTAACTTATCCGGACGTCTTCGTTGGATTATTACTCTGAAGAAGTCCGGACAAGTTAGCTGGACGAAACGTTGGAATTATTCACATTTCAATCGCTGAGATTATTTCAACTATAATTTTCACATATATTATTATTAATATTATGATGGATGTTATTCAATAACAATGAAATATGAACAATATGAACAATTTGGTTGACTATAATATATAATTTTGAAATCACTTAGATGGATTAAATGATAGTTATATTAAGAAAAAGTCAATCCTTCAAATCTCAGATGAAACAAATTTCGAGAGATATAATCATGAGTATAACCAGTTCAATATGTTGATCATTTCGTATTTCACAAGCAACTTAGAACTTAACATTTGTGTGTCGGTTCACGTGATCACACCATATGAGCATAGAGAGATGAAATTGTCTGGATACATGTCAGAATGATTAAAGTTGGAGCAGTATCACAGACAATAAAATGCCCTTAGCATACTTACTTACTAACGCCTGTTACTACTCGTGGAGGAGCATAGGCCTCTCACCAGTATTCTCCATTCAACCCTGTCCTGAGCAATCCTTTCCAGCTATTTTTTAGTTGTTATTCATCTTTTTCACATCTGATTCTATTTTCTGACGTAATGTGTTTTTTGGCCTTCCACTTTTCCGCTTCCCTTCAGGATTCCAAGTTAGGGCTTCTCTCCTGATGCCGTTTGATGATTTGCATTATGTATGTGTTATCCATTTCCATCGTCTTTTCCTAATTTATTCTTCAGCTTGAAGCTGGTTTGTTCTCTCTCACAGTAGACTGTTTCTGATGGTATCCGGCCAATGGATGTTGAGTATCTTGCATAGACAGCTATTTATAAATACTTGTATTTTCTTGATGATGGTTGTTATAGTTCTCCAGGTTTCAGCTCCGTACAGTAGAACTGTCCTAACGTTTGTATTGAAGATTGTGAATTTGATGTTGGTTGGCAGCTGTTTGGATTTCCATATGTTCTTCAATGGTAGGAATGCTGTCCTTGCTTTGCCGATCCTCGCCTTTACGTCTGCATCTGATCCCCCTAGTTATTCATTGATGCTTCCAGTGTACGTGTAGGATTCTATATCTTGCAGAGTTTCGCCATCAATTGTGATTGGGTTGGTGTTCTTCGTGTTGTATTTGAGGATCTTGGTTTTCATCTTGTGTATGTTGAGGCCTACTGATGCAGAAACTGCTGCTACACTGGCTGTCTTTATCTGCATTTGTTCATGTGTATGCGATAGGAGGGCTAGGTCATCTGCGAAGTCCAAATCGTCTAATTGGTTCTGAGCTGTCCATTGTATTCTGTGTTTTCCTTCAGATGTCAAGGTCTTCATAATCCAGTCGATCACCAGAAGAAAGAGGAAGGGGAGAGTAGATAGCATTGTCTAATTTCCTAAAATAAAACACTAACCCTAAGCATAGACGATATAATTTATGGAATAAAAATAGATTTGTACGGTAAAAAGTATAGAATCATTTTGAAACTCGCAATCTAAAGGATACTAATGCGCGGATGTATTTGTGCTATTGAAACTGATTCTGAACCATATTACACGTGTTTAACCGTTGGTTATGGAAATAGTGCAAAACATGGATTGGTACTATGTCTTAGCTTGGTCATCCCATGTCGAATGTATATATTTGTATTAGGGAATTATAGTAATTTGACTTGATATATATATAACAAATGATTGTTCATACACAAAATTGAAGATCAATAAGGAATCAGTAGTAATATTTCAGTCCTATCCATCATAATACAGAGGACATCATTAAACTATAGAAATTCTGAATAGCTATTTCTCATGCTAATTTCTTTATGAATTACCAAATTTAAAATACAAAAATAATTGAAAAAAAAGCTGTGATTCATAATGGTGACCCATTGTTTTGTACACTTTAGTTATGGACGAGATGATTACTACGAATTATCCGAACTTAGTTAAATCTATTGAGGAAAGCATCCGATTGAGTCACAAGACAAGCCATCACATGGAATCCTCAGGGCGAAAGGAAAAGAAGAAGACCAAAGAACATATTATGCCAAGATATAGAGACAGACATGAGAAGAATGAACAAAAATTGAACAGAACTGGAAAGGAAGACCCAGGACAGAATGAATTGGAGAATGCTGGTGGGCGGCCTATGCTCCATTAAAAGTAACAGGCGTAAGTAAGTAAGTATGTTAAATCTAACGATATATGTTAATGACGTCTCAGATGCATATAACCCACGGGTGTGGCCAACAGTTAAAGTTAACAGCTTACAGTAACCCGGATGCATGTTGAAAATAGAAATTATATTCAACTTCTGGCAGTTTTCTATTATTATGATTTTTATTATTATGGATGTTATTCAGTAGAATAATAGTTTGTGAACAAGACAATTCTAAATTGATGTTTAAATGTTTCTAAAAAATCATTCATCAGCACTATATTAGAATATATTCTTAAAGGGGCACTCTCCGAGCTTTTGATATAAAGATCTAATCGACAAGACAATGGAGCAACGTTAAGAGATACCGTTCCATGGTAAGTAATGGACAAAAAATAGGTTCATACAACATTTCATCCCCCCAGAAAATCCATGAACCCATGTGCACAATCGATTTGGAATCAGGGTTTTCCAACTCCTCTAAGTAAATACTCTATATCGACCGACTCAGTATGAGCACTTAACATTCGGTTTTCTTATTTTCAATTTTATAAACAACAGCTCTGACGTGAGAAGTCAATGAGTAGGACTTCCTTGAAAGTGATTGCATATGCGTGTCCATGTGAGAGCATTACGAGAGAGAGCTAACTCTTTTCACCCTAAACCGTACCGTAGTTTTCTCTTTGTTTGTTTTTTTAAAAATTTAATTTGACATAAATGTGAAGTTATGTATGAATAAAATGTGAGAAAAATAATTTAGAAACCATGATGAAAATAATCTATTCAATACAACTAATTCATAATAGTTTACCTTCAGTTTTTATTTTTAAATTAGTTCGAACTAAAGCAAAAAGTGTTGCATTGAACATGACAGTTCCATCACTATTCAACGGCATATTCATACGTACTAAAGTCTGAAACAAAAATATTCAAATATTGATGTAAAGAGTTGAGATAAGTCTATTGATAGATATTAATAATGATATACATAGAAATATCATCAGAAAGGGGTTTCGATAGATATTATAGTATTTTAATAGATGAACTCGTAAGTCAATTGAAGCTAGTCCACCATAAAAAAACCTGGAAGCACCGGATAGACTTTTCGTCCTGACGTGAAACTCCTACTCAGAAGTGTGCATCCACGATACCGCTCACGGGATTCGATCCTAGGGCTTATCGGTCTTGTGCGCGAAAGCTTAACCTTTAGATTACTGAGGTGGCCGGCATTCAACGGTATTAATGTTTAACTTCAACTAATCCACGAAATTGAGTGACACATCCACCATTATGTTCAGTGAGTCACTATCTCACAACAGACTCGGTTGAACTCCATTGGTCACTGCTTTTCACTAGAACTCCAGGAAATACCTCCTACAGCCAGGCGTCTATTCATGATTGTATGAATCAATTTTATAGGTTGAAAGTAGTGTATTCCATATACATTAGATTTTAAAATAACGACAATATGTATCATTGGTAAAATATAAAAATCTATACAAGAACGGGATAAGAGAAAATTCCTTTGTCTTGTATATATAAATCTCTTTTTTGATTAAGTTGATGCTGATTGTTTTTGGTAATATAGAGAATGGATAATCCTATGCCTTTGGATAAATTGCTGTAGACTTAATAAAGATCTGAGAAACCAACATCTTAATACTACATCCATTGTCACTTAGGTGATAAGGAATGATTGTTTATTGACTTAGTGACAATTCTTGTTAAATAAAGCAGTTCATGTATATTGAAACCCATGAAGTAAAAACCTGGAAGATACATGACTATACTGAATAATGTTTGATATTCCACATAACAGTAACAAGGATCTCATACAGAGCATACGGATTAAGTTAAAGTCGGGTGAGAATTCAAAAGCCATCAAAGTAGATAAAATAACCCAAGTATTCTAATTCTGACAAAGAATGATTACATAGATACAATGAATTGTATACTGGCGGATCAGACTGAATTCCTAAAACTTGCATTATGTAAGATTGGTTCTTATCTAACTATAACACATTAAAACCTCTGAAATAATCACAGATTTCTGATTCTGTTACGTACTTAAATATTACAAAACACCTACTTGACGACTTAATGACCTACTGAAGGTTTAAAATCTTTGGATACATGATTCTGGAAATGTCAAACTATTGAAAATATTACAATGGGAATGAATCAAACGCTGTGTTAAAGGTGTGTAGAAACGTGTAGACGTGGTAAAATGTGTGAATGTATAGAAAAAAAAACTGTTTTATGTCTGAATAAGACAACATATATTACATCACATGGGTTCAGAAATATTCACCATTTGTGTATTGAGGAATGTACGATATATTATGCTGGTTATATTCCGTAATCTGAAATATTTTATTGCGTACATCTCGTGAATATTCCTCTTGTTTACTCTTATTTAAATGATGTTCTCAATTTGAATTTGTTCGTTTGATAAGTCATCAGTATAAAATTAAAAGTCCTTTAATAGAACAGTGCATTTGACTCTATAGACCCTGAGATTCTGTGGCAGTGTCTGTCATTGAAAGGTGTACCTCAGAAGTACATCAACCTTGTGAAGGCTTTTTACTCGAACACTACTAGTCGAGTCAGAGCTTATGGCGAACTGTAATCTGGTTTTGCAACCTCAAGTAGTGTCCGTCAAGGCTGTCCATATTCTCCATTTTTCTTTAACTTCATCATAGACCTACTGATGGAAATAACATTCTCGTCAACTGAATCCTCGGGTATTGATTTCATTCCAGGAGGTCTACTTATCGACTTAGAATACGCAGATGACATAGTCTTGTTTGGTGAAGACGCTGATAAAATACAGAGTCTTCTGGTAGCACTAAGCAACGATGCCAGAATGTTTGGAATGCGCTTATATATGTGAACATCAGTAGCATACACTAAATTATGATTTACATCTGTTCAATATTCAATAAAGTCTTTAGGTATGATCATATTATGAACGAATAATATAGTCAATGAAAATAAAGTTATTATCTTTGAAATATTGATCACTGTCGAAATGAATGTAATTCCAATGATTAACTGAATCACTTCCTTCAAGTTGTATCAAACATAAAGTGGTCAAAGACATTTTATATATATAGTTTTATGAAGCTTTTTCTCAGTTTAATTTGTGTACACCAAGAAATGATCATTTGTATGGTTAATTGGAGAGAATTGATATTTGTACTAGAACATATGATTGAATAGATTGATTGTTACACGAGGATACAAAATCTATGATATCTTTTAATAATGCTTGGATTCATAAATGATTATATAGACTTCCAGAAATAAAGTGATTACTTCATGTAATCAAATGAAGTATCATACAGTTCTGTTATGCTTTGAATGTATAGGTCTTAGTTTTGGCGGTTAGGTTAAAACTATCAAAGTATGAAGGTCATATGATTACAAGGTGTATAGTGCCAGCTTAATTACTGTAATACATAATAGATGTACTTCTTAATGCTTTCTTATTAAATCATTCCATATTACATAATCAAGTCGCTTTGTTATTTTTTGTTCACAGTTGTGTTAATGTGACTTCCTATAAGATTGTATACGGTTATTTGGATAATCAATCAATGAGTCTATTACTTAAAACATAATTATGAAATATAGTTTGACCTTATTAATTAATGTAAAATTGTTACTATCAAAGTTTAATTAGTATAGAAAGCTAAATGTTGAATTAGATCAATGATGAATAATCCAAGAACTTGAATAGTTAGACAAACAAACAAAAAAAACAGAACTTAATTAAGTCAGCAATTCATATTACTCTTATAAATCATTAAAGAAATACCTTTTTCTTTTGTAGATATATCATTAACTCTTCTGATGAATATTATTTATTTGAACATAGAAATATTGGTACAACAAGGCACCAAATATTTATGCGCCACATATTTTCATTATCATTATATTTGTGTGTGGGTTGTGATACTGCCCGAGTGCCCAAACCGAACCAAGTGGTTTTCTTAGGGGGCCACACAAGGAGCCTTTGACCTAAAGGTCTAACCCACAAGGCAGTGGAGCATCGTAAGGAGATGCAGTCCCATGGTAGCCGATGACCAAGAAACTGGTTCATACGCCATTTGTTCCCGCAGGATACTGGATCCCATGTGCACCAATGGTTTCGGATCCGGTTAAAGCATCGGACATTCGCTTTTCTTCCTCTCAATTTCGTAAACAACACCCCCGCCACGTGAAGGTAGTGAGTAGGACTTCTCTGGCAGAGGCTATTTACGCGTGGCCGTGTGGGAGCATTTCGAGGAGGGTGGGCTCACCTCACTCTCAGCCATACCAGGGCATTTGGGGGTAATGAATATTATAAATGAGGTCTATTATATACATATTTTAATAGGCTTGTTACAATTCTCTAAATAAAGGTCAATTGTTCTAGATATAGTGTAATTGTAAATGTATTTTAAAGGAAACAGAGAACACTTAGAAGGAACCAGATATGACCTATCAATGGAAAGTATACTCTCAGAGTCTGTTTTGTAAGATCATTATTCAAATTGTACTCAATAATGAAAGTTTGAGCAGTATACATTATTTTCATTTCTTGTAATAAATGAAAGAAACGTCAGTTTTAATTAAAAATAGCTACTTTACGTATCTATGGAGTTTTACATTGTTGACTGACTGACTGACTAACTGACTATACTCATAAACTCATATGATTATCCATAATATATAGATACAACATTAAATGAGATATATTACTATAAAACTGTAAAAATGAAAATGAAAATTTAGCAGTAAAAGGAAACTTGAGCTAACATATTAGTTAGTTATTTATTAAGCTTATTTGTTAAGCTTTTCACTGGAGTGTGCGTTACTTATATCAACATAAGTAGTATATAACGCTAGTACGGAATAGAATGTCTGGTAGAAGATTGAGGTGGAAAGAACGTGAATAGATAGCAATTGATATGAAAATGCAGAAACTATGAGTCCGAGACGATTGATGGATCTTTGCCAAGGGAATAGTCAAGTTTGAAACAATTGATTGACATTTTGCAAATTAAGTATCTACTGTATGGTTCTCAGATTTTACTAAGATGTTTTGTACTTTTGTATTAAAATACACCTGACTGTCTCAACTTGTGTTCTCGTTCACTATAGTAGTAATAGTAGAACTAGTCGTCATAATCCTAGTCGAAGTAGTTGTCGTATTCTAGTAGTCATAGTAACGGAAATTGAATTAGAACAACGTACATTCTTAATTTTATAATAACAATTGAGAACTAGATGATCAAAGGATTGATTTACAGCTTCAGTTATTTAGTGATAAATGAAATGAGAAAAGAACAAGTTAATATTTTGTTCAATGAAGAATATTGATAGTTTCAAATAAATTGAGCATCGAGTGGAAAGTTGTATTTCTGAAGTTTCGTGACTTAATATAAGACACTTCTTCAAAGTTCCATTATTCATTTGCTCTGAAGAAGTGACTTATATTCAGTCACAAAACGTCAGAAATACAACTTCTCTACTCATTGGGATATAACAAAAACTATATTGATTATTATATTATCTATTATTTACACATAACCTGTGTTACATCTGAACGAAGAATAAATGAATAGCAAGTGATAGGAATTATTTATGGGCTTTCATTACATATATTCTTATTGGATAATTATTAATAAAATCATAAGCTTTCCTTGACCTATTAACTAATGTTATACGATTTACCATTCTTAATATATTCCCAGTCTATTAGTTACAGTCAATCTCACTCACAGACACTTTTGTTTTGATCTTGTGAAATACCTGACATCAGAAGGTTAAGAAGATCGAAGGGAAAAGAACAAGAACAAAGAAATGGGTGGTGTGGAAACTTGTACAAATATGTATATTCTATTTGATGGTACGATGTGGTCTGTTTGGTTGGTATACATAAGTCCAGTATGTTTGAAATAACTAATCCATATCGCAAAGGCTGAGATTGATGTTCTGAACTTTAACAGGCAGAGCTAGTCAGCAATTGGGCCCGTTAAGAACTCTAGACTACTCCGCATGGGATTTTTGCGTCACTGGTCCAGTTGATAAATCATTATTCTCTAATTGGCGATATCATTAAGTTATATATTGATAGGGTCACAAATCCACAAGTTATAACGAAATCCAAATTTCCGTAGGATGAATAAACATTATTACATTTTGTGTCATGATGAATCTATATACTAACTAGTCCACAATCTCTAAACCAACATGGTTGTTTGAAAATAATACCTTAAACACATTTAAACAACTGAATGACATTTACAACTGTCAAATATTCAAGAATTCAATACATTTTTTTAAAAATTGAATACACTTACTACACATGCAGTTCGATGAGGACATAATTTACCAAAACCTAATGGAGGTGATATTTTACGAAGGAGTGTAACTACATCAAGATGTTTAATTCTTCCTCTAAAATAAATCAAATCAAATGTATGTTCATGAATAAATGTATATATAGTATAATACATTGTAATAGACAGTAAGAAATAACATCAAATTGTAGGCAATTTAAAAACTGAATGTAGTGACCATAGGGTAATAAAAAGTCTTAATCGGATATTACTGGTTAGCGTTTTTTTAGCGAGTTAGTTTTCTACGGGATGGGGTCGCTAACCCCATGCCCAACCCTCCTCCTTTATCCAGCCTTGGGACCGGCAGTAGCCGCCGGAGGGACTCCAGTCGGAGTTTTAATCGGATATTATAACATATTAAATTCATTTTTGTATTCGTTGGTTAAATCTTCCCATTAATGTTTAAGACTACAATTGATCAATCTCTTATTGGTATATCCGTGCATCCTGTGCGAATTGTTTCGATATTACCTTCAGTGAAATAGGATGAGACGCGTGTGCTGGATTCCACTGTTGCCACAGTTGCATTAATTGTTTTTGATGCCAAGGCACGACCCACATGTGATCAACGCTCATCATTATATAATTATTACTTATAAAGCGTTAACTTCAGTCACATTTATATGAAAAGATTGTACGAAAGTTGGGGTTGTATGTATTTTGAACACATATAAGTTCAGAGCATTTTCCATCGTGATCAAACATGGGACGCTAAATACGTTTTAGTAAAAAAAGGTTCATTAGGTTTACGTATATAGAACGTAACAGGGCCAAACGTTTTATGATCAGAATAGGGTTTGTGGATACTGTAATAATTTTAATAGTTGAATTCATAAGTCGATGTAAGCTAGACCACCATTGAAAACTTGGAAGCACTGGACGACCGTTTCATCCTAGTATGGGACTCCTGAGCAGTGCGAATCCATGATCGTCTATTAAAGGGAATCAAGCCTAGCACTTCCGGTCTCGTGCGTGAACGCTTAACCTTAAGACTACTGAGCATCCCACGATGTTAATGTCTAACTTCAGTTGATTACGCATGCGCGGTCGTGAATGCGCAATGCCGAGGAGTTCCATACTAGGATGAAAAGGCCGTCCAATGCTTCTACACTTTTTAAACGCTAATAATCTCTTTGAAATAAACAATACATTAACATTTAAACATTCTTAAGGGTCCTTAGATCCGCAAAGCCAAACTCATAAAACATATTTGGTTCATGAATCCATGGATATATTTAACGCCTGTTTAGTTTGCTTTTACTCAATAATATCCAAGTCCAATTTGTCATCGTATGACCATGGAAGCAAATGTTCTAGCATCCTTATTGATTGAAATGATAGCTTTTTAACAACTACAGGATAATTTTTTTTGCTATTTGTAAGTTAGCGCTGAGAATCATTCAGATACGTCCAGCTTTGAGACACCAGATCAAAATGTGGATCAACCCGGTTAATATTACTGAACTTATCTCTTTAAAGATTTATGAGATCTGTACTATGAACAGTAATAGTTTCCTTTGATTCACGTCGGTTATAATCTTTTTAAATACAATATTCAGATAACGACAAACTAAATGTTAATAATAACCAACCAAGATCGAGGTTGACAGGACAAGCAGTGAGTTATATATACCCGAAATATGTCCTGATGATGTTGTTGTTCAGAAGCACAAAAAAAGCTCCATGATTAAATCAATTAGCTTAGAGAACGAAACTCCATCAAAATCATCCACCTGAGAGCTTATGGCGAACTGTCATCAGAATTGATTAACTCAGGTAATGTTCGTCAGGGCTACCCACTCTCTCCATTCTTGTTTAACTTACTCGTTGAAATGCTTCTAGAGATGACACTATCATCATCTAAATTTCCAGGAGTTGAACTTTCGCCAGGAGATTCACTTGTTGACTTGGAATATGCCGATGACATAGTTCTATTTGGTGAAGTCGCTGACAAAATGAATAGTCTTCTGACCACTCTAAGCAACAATGCAAGCATGTTCGGGATGCGATTCTCCCCCTCGAAATGTAAAATGTTGCTTCAGGATTGGGTTGCATCGACACTCAAACTAATGATAGGGAGTGAAGTAGTTGAGTGTGTCGACCGCTTCACTTATCTTGGAAGTCTCATCAGCCCTTGTGGTCTGGTGTGTGACGAAATCTCAGCACGGATACAGAAGGCCCTATTAGCTTTTGCCAACTTGCGTCATTTATGGCGTAGGCGAGATATCCGTCTACCAACCAAAGGACGTGTTTACTACACAGTAGTTCGTTCTGTCCTACTTTATGGCTGTGAAACATGGTCGATAAGAGTTGAGAATATTCGTAGGTTACTAGTATTCGATCAAAGGTGTCTTCGAAGCATTGCTTGTCTATCCTGGGACTACCGAGTAAGTAATGCGATTGTTAGAGAACGAGTACTAGGTAAGAATGGAAAATCACTTAGTCAAGTAGTGAAACTTCATCAGTTGAGATGGCTGGGACACGTGTTACATATGCCCAACCGCCGACTACTCCGATGTGCGAATCAATTTGTATTATAATAACAGTAAAAATATCATAAATATGTATAGCTTACTTTGCCTCAGGATCATATTCTGACCATAAACGTATAAATTCATCTAAATGATGTGGACCTAATATTGACCAATCTCGTGTTAAATAATCAAAATTATCCATTATAACAGCAACAAATAAATTGATAATCTAAAATAATCAATTATAACAATGATAATAATCATCATTAGAAAAACATATAACAGTATATGAAAAAAATGTAATTAGCATATAGAGTAAGATGAATAACAAAGTAGGTGGCTATAAAAACGATGTTATAGTAGTTTGGAACTTTCATAACCTACAAACATTTAAATTCACTTGATGTTGGTTTACTTATATCTTTCCATTACTATTTAGCAGGTGGCTATCACGACTGAGTAGCTAAGTGGATAACGTAATGATGTTTGAAGCGAACGGTACTGAGTTCGAGTCCCGCAATGAATGTCACCTTTGAGATGCAGGTACATCAAGGTGACGAATCCCAAATAGGACGAAACGCGCGTCAAACTGGATTCCACTGACATTTGACTTAATCAAATCTAGAACATCCCACTCTCAAGAAGTAGTATATTTCTGTCGGGTTTAAAAAAATAAGATGTCATTTTTTTTACTGATTAAAATCACGAGTCAATTGAAGCTAGACCACCATGGAAAACCTGGAAGTACTGGACGGACGTTTTGTCCTAGTATGGGACTCCTCAGCAGTGCGCTTTCACGATCCCGCCCCTCGCAAGATTCGAACCCAAGACCTATCGGTTTCGCGCCAGGCGCTTAACCAACTAAACCACCGAGCTGGCCGTCATCCAACGGTGTTAATGTTTAACTTCAACCAATCCACAAAGTTGCGGCTGTCCAGCGCTTCCAGGTTTCCCATGGTGGTCTAGCTTCAATTGACTCATGATTTCAACCAGTGAAATTTCTAAAAATCTCTACAAAACCCATTCTGGTCATTTTTTTTTGTTCATTCGAGATTTAATACCTTTCCAACGTTGAAGAACTAGTCAATAGAACATTTTCATCATAATGGAACAATTCAAAATAACATAAACTATAAATACTTCTTAAAGTTAGACCGATAATTTTAGGTGTCCTTATCCAAAAATGATCCTTGGATCATTGAATCTGGGATCTGAATCATTTATATCTACAAATTAATTGATTCTTCAATTCAATACAATTAGAACTGAATAGTTTACTTTAACTATTAATTTAAGCATATGAAATAAATAGAAAAGGAACTTACAAGAAATGAACAAACCATATAGAAAGAAATAAAATATGGATAAGCAAAATTTGATCCACATGTTGCACGTGGTCCATTATATCCTAATTCATCTAATTTCTTCCAACTAATTGTTCTTTCATCAAACTCTTCAATAGATGAATGAATAAATTGATTATGAATTGGTTTTAATGATGAAGATAATGATAATTGTGTTGAAATGATAGGAAATGTTTCATTTTTATCATTTATTTCTCTACTTTGTCTATATCTACTTATTAAATCTGATGAATAAACAATATCATCTGGAGGATGTATATTTTCAACCGATGAAAACAAAGAAGAAGAAGAAGAAGAAGAAGAAGAAGAAGACCGGTCCTTTTCTATTGTAGGATTATCTAATCCAAGTATTGTGGAAGGATGTGAATAAGTAAATAAGGAATTCTGATTATTATCCATTAATCCATTATTCAATACATCCCAAATAGAATGATTATCTCGTTCATGATTATAAAATGACACTGATGGTTGATTATATTCTGTTGAATCATCAATAGATGTTACAAAAGGTGTCGAAACTTTTGTTGAATTATTACCATTTTGTTTTATCAGAATATATTGTGTTGATGTTGTATTCATTAAAATAATATGTTGTTGTTCATCTAAAAAACTTCGTATAGCTTTCATTTCAGTATCTGAATATCGATCACATTTGACAGTGTGATCTAAAATAAAAGAGAATTAATAAACAAAGCAATAGGGTACAACCGAGTCAGTTGTGAAATAGTTACTTACTGATGAAAATGCAGAATGTGTCGCTCAATTTTGTGGATTAGTTGAAGTTAGACATTAACACCGTTGGATGCCGTCCGGTTCAGTGGTCTGGAGGTTAAGTGTTCGCGCGCGAGACCGATAGGTCATGGGTTCGAATCCCGTGAGATGGGGTCGTGGATGCGCACCGCTGAAGAGTCCCACAATAGGACGAAACGGTGATCCAGTGCTTCCAAGTTTTCCATGATTGTCTATCTTCAATTAACTCATGATCTCAACAATTGAAATATCATATAGTCTAGACATTAATTAATAGAATATAATTTCAAGTTTTGAAATTAGGTTAATGTTCAACGAAATGTGACTTTTAGAACCTGTTGTTCAGTTTTTTTAATTTTTTGTAGACCCAAGTATTTCCAAATGTCGTGACTACAAATTGAAATCTACGGAATGTTATTTATATTAAATAGATCTAAGAATAACAATGCCATACAATGAAACAGAACTGATGAAATTTGTTATAGAGTTGAAGTTATTCATAGTTAAATTAATTAGTGATGAAATACGCCTTCGAACTTCAATATTATCATACTAATTCATCATATCAGTTTGGATGTTATGATTATGGTGAACGGGGCATAATTCTAGTATGTGGAGAATAACCTTTTTTTTGACAACAGTAACCTGAAAGTATACGATAAAAGGTTTTTCATACAATGGAAGAACTATGGGAAGAAGAATGTCGCATGTTTTAGTGACGCATACTTCTCGATAACTCAATGATGAGAAGATTATTTATAAGTAATCTAGAAATAAAATGAAATCCCTATATTACTCAGTACGTCAGTAACAGAGTAGAACGCCGTACATACGTACATCAGTTCAAGTTGCCATACCACATTAGAACAGAGATACAATTGTCGACTTAAATCCCATAGTGGTAGACGTAGTAAAGGTAAAAGAAGTAATCGGAAACATTAGGGTTTGAAGATGTTATTCAAGGAGTATAATCCAGTGAAATAAATTTGGAAAGAAAGAAAATAAGGGGATATGAAGAGTTCAGAAGATTAAAATTTGGGAGAACACAAAATCTGGATGCACCTGCGCTACTGAAAACGATTTTGTGTCGTCACATTCAAGGTCATTAACCATCGGCTATATTCCTCAATTATAGTTTGTATAATCATAACAGAAAGAAGAACATCATGAACGATTTACAAGCTACATATCAGTTCCATACTTAAATTTACAACTCTTCTGACCGTGAATCCTCAATAATGTTGTAGTGACCTACTTTTATCAAGGGAACGCGATTGGTTTAATGAAAACAATTATTATTATAGCCGATTGTATCAGTGATTGTTTTACTGTATTTGTTTGTTTAACTGTACTAAAGACATTCATTATTCTTCCATTCTTCCTTCCATTGATTGTTACCTTGCACGAACTCACGTTTGCTTAGTAAATCCGCTTGTACTGCTTTGATACGATCTCGGTATTCTTTCGATACCACGAGATCACCAACAAATATACTTAGCTACAACCTTCAATTGCCTTCTGATAATTGGTACGCAACCTTCCTGTAGTGATGATCATAGTCAACCGCGACTCGACCTTACGCTACAATGTCAACAGTTTGTTTTCAATGAACTTACCATTAACACAACTTAACATTATTTCTTGCCAAGCTTCACCAGTTGCAGAACGAAATAACACTAACAATGATTGAGGAAATGTTTGAAAATTATTATTACGATTTATTGAACTATCTGGATTGATTAATGCAATTTTACCAAACATTTGCATTCCAATTACAGCGTATATAAAAAATAACATGATGATCAGTAGAGCAACATAAGGTAATGCCTATAAATGAAATATAGAAGAATAGTGTAAAACATTTTATATATCTTTGTACTCAATCAAGCAATAACCATAAAATCAATAAATCTCTCAATAGTAAGCAGTTACCATCAAAGTATTAACCAATACTTTAAAACAAAATTCGATGGTGGCTGGTAATGAAATCCAGGACTAGTGTTTCATTCTACTTGAGATTCGTCAGATGAATGTGCCTGCATTCCAGTGGTGATATTTACACCAACATAACAGCTAGAGGTTTTTGTTTCAGCTAGTCAATGCGTTATTCAATTAGTGACTGAGTCTAATTGTCAAAATGTGTCCCCGAGTTCACTGCTAATCACCATCAACTTTGCCTAAAAGTCCTTGTAACTCAATGACGATATCGAAACAACTTTCTCAGGACGCAAATACCTCGAAGGAGACTGATCACTGACGATCTTTAACGTCAACAATATGATGCTTTTAACACTTACAAGTTAATTAAAGTAATCGATGGTTTTTAATAAGCAAATATGGAATGTGGCTATTAGTGTAATCCGAACAGGACGAAATGCGCGTCCTAGATCTACTTATAATACAATGCACCACATAGAACTAGTAGGATATTTAGAAATCAATTCTAGTAACGTTTACAATACATCTGGTTGAGGAAAAACTGACATCATGATAGACTTGAGTTTCACGGTCAGTCAGCGAAGTATTGTAATGGCTGGTACCATTTCAAGTCTACATAGGTTATTCTAGCTTCTATACAGACCAAATTATTCATTCTTCTCAAGCCACATTTTGATCTTGTTACTTATTCTTTTATTAACCCTGATTGAGTTTTATATGATCGTATAAGTGTTAATTGCTTGTCTTATTTATTACGTATTTCTAACTATTTTTCGTCTGAATATAAATATTGAGTCACTGTTGATCGCAAACAAGTTGGCTCGCTCACACTCTCTCTCTTCGTTAAGCGTCAGTTCATTTGGTTTCGTCATGCTTATCTTTCTTCACTTCGTTTCACTGATTGTATGTCCTGATCAAAGAGTGCACAAAATATACAAATTCAAAATGCATTCTCGTATTTGGCTTATTTCATTCCGTTATTCTAAAACACGAATTAAGTCGACAGAAATATACGACGGTTTCTGGCATATATATATATATATATAAATATATATATATATATATATATATATATATATATATATCGATGTCAATAAGCAATACGAACTGGAGTCAGATATAGGGCAACTCAAGTCAGACCTTTTTCATCAGAAAATAGCTTATTTAAAGCCCAAATTGTTGACAAAAATATCGTGGATGCGCACTCTTGAGAAGTTCCACAGTAGGAAGAAACGGCCGTTCAGTGCTTTCAAGGTTTTCCTTGGTAGTCTAGCTTCAATTGACTCATAATCTCAACTATTGAAATCATTATAATATCCACAAAAACACCTGATATTAATCGGCATATGCTCATGAATGACAGTCTCCAAGAGGTATTTCCTGGAGTTCTAGTGAGAAGCAGTGACCAGTGGAGTTCGATCGGGTCTGTTATGAGATAGTAACTCATCGAAAACAGTAGTGAATATATCGTTCAATTTCGAGGGTGAGTTGAAGTTAGCGATTAATACCATAGGATTCCAACTCAGTGGTCTAGAGATTAGGCGTCCGCGCGTGAGACAGATAGGTCCTAGGTTTGACTCTCGTGAGACGGGATCGTGGACGCTTACTTCTGAGGAATGCCACATCAGGACGAAACGACCGTTCAGTACTTCCAGGTTTTGCATGATGGTCTAGCTTCAATTGACTCATGATCTGAACTATTTAAAAAAATGTATTATAATAATTATTACTAAAAAGTAAACACGATATATACCTGAAATGATTTAACAAATGTCCATAGAAGTGTTCGTATACCTTCACCACGATTTAATAATTTAACCAATCGCATTACACGGAATAAACGAAAAAAGTTTATACTGATGAATTTTGAATTCGCCTTTTACAAAAACAAAACAAAACAAGAAATAGATGTAAACTATATTAGATGATGAAAGAATACAATTTATAATGTTTACCATGGCAACAATATGACAGTAAAAGTACTGTGATAATTGAAATGGATAAAATTAAAATATAATTGAACTTTTCATTCGTTCAAATATTTTATGTTCATCTTGGTTACATAAATCTAGGGACGCCAGTTTAATTCACTCAAAATTGTAAATCTGTTTTAAGATATTGAGAGACTTTGAAACTGTGTTTCGTCTTAGTTTACAGATGTCGACTAGCCTTACCTTTATTCTTGACAAAATCGATATTTCTGATGAGATTACAACCTATCTCACCTGATTTTACAGTATGAAACATTTAGCCGGTTACAGTTCAAATTGTTCCGGGGCTTATAAAATGTGATTTGTTATTGTGGAAAAAACTAATCTATCAGCAGAATAGAATAATTGGCGAAGAGAAGTTTCAGGAAAAGCGGGTGTGTATAAGATTTAAATTTAATAGTCTGCATCTTGAATGCTCAAAATCACTCATAGTGTTAACGACAGTAGGATTGGTTAGTTCATTCTTAAATCTTCCAGTCACATTATGAATTTTACTCAATCACATTACTATAAGAGTCTATTCAGAGACTCATATTGCTCTATCAATGGAAGGAAAACTTCATGACAAAGTATTTCAATCCTATGTTATTATAATATAATGTCTGTTACAACTTGAAAAATAATCTTTCTAGCCATTTTAACTCAATATGAAACATACAAACAAGATATTTAATAAACCACTGGTTGTAATCATGAGTCAGTTGAAGCTAGACCACCATGGAAAACCTGTAAGCACTAGATGGTAGTTTCTTCCCATTGTGGGACTCCTCAGCACTGCGCATCCACGATCCTATCCTCCAAGGGATTCGAACCCACGACCTATCAGTCTCGCGCGCGAGCACCTAACCATTAGACCACCAAGTCGGAATTTAACGGTGTTAATGTCTAACTTCAACTAATCCACGAAATTGAATGGCACAACCACCATTGTCTTCAGTATGTTGCCATCTCATAAAAGACCTAGTTGAACTCCATTGGTCACTGCTTCTCATTAGAACTCCAGGAAATACCTCTTGGAACCAGTCACTAGTGAGCATATATATTGATTTATATCAGAAGGGGTGTTTCTGTGGATATCATATTATTATTAAACATTTCAAGATCCAAACAAAAAAACTTACAGCAAGATGTGACATATTAATATCAACGAAACTACCAACAACAATGATGAAATCGAATACATTCCATGGATCACTAAAATAATTCTAGATAAGGTGATCAAAACAAAACAAAAAGCAGATTATTTATTGATGTTTAATAACATGTAAAACGTCCATATCCATAACAGGTTAAATTAATGAACAGGGTGATTTAAAAAAAATATAAATGATCTAGTATTGTGATGTATGCTACTTATACATTAAGGTATAACTAATATAAAACACCAGTCGGAAGTGGAATGTCTGCGAACAAAAGGTTGATAAGAGGAGAGAGGAAGGAAAACGTAGGTTATCAAGATAACAACAGCAATCAAGGAACAATGAAGCTTGTAAGAGACGATTCCAAGATTATGTGTATATCATGTATTTGATGTATAATTTTCACTTTTTGCTAAACCTTTGAGTGATCGTTCAATAAAAAGTAAAATTGTCTTCTCCCAACTAAGTTCTCCTTCATTATAGTAAGATGAGCCTTATTTTGATATGTTGTATAGCATGGTTTATCTAATGGAAAACTAACATATAAATATAATTGTGTGGTTGTGGAGATTGTTAGGTTTTTGATTGAGATCATGAATCGATAGATTTTTGACCGCAGTTGAAAACCTAGAAATACAGGACCACTGTTTCGTTCTAACATGGGATCCCTGATGAGTGCAAATCCACGATCACGCTTACGGGATTCGAACCGAGGACCTTCAGTCTCGCGCGCGTGAACGCTTAACCTACTGGACCACTGAGCCAGCATCCAACGGTGTTAGTGTCCAAGTTCAACCAATCGACGATACCGTGCGACCATCTTCCATTGTCTGAGGTAGATACCTGTCTCTACCTAATACGGATTAGCTACACTGGATGTCACCTCAGTGATTTAAATATTAAGAGTTCATGCTCGAAACTGAATGCCCTAGCTTCAAATCACGCATGTGAGATCGTGATTGCGCACTGCTCAGGAGTTCCATACTACGAAGAAACGGTCATCCAGTATTTCAAGGTTTTCTATGGTGATCTTACATTGATCGATTCATGATCTCAATCGGTAACATATATTTTTATAACAGGAATTATAATTCATTGTCTGAAATTATAAGGAACATAAATTATTAATGCAGTGTAATTATTAGGGTTAGCGATTGTTCTATTAACGATGGAAAACTAAACAATCGTATTATATCAAGTACTAATTATGGAATAGAATATTTAGAACAAATGAAGAGCTGAAGAAGAAGAAGAAGAGTAGATACAATCAGATTATTTGATTTGAAATGAAAATCACACTACAGATTTATAGTTTATTCTAACAAAATCAGTAATAAAAATAGTGCGCTTATTACTTCTACTCATAGGAGTATTGAAAAACCAATAAATGAAAATGAAACTATATTTTTATGCCAACTTCAAAACAACTGATTAACAACCTACTGAAAAAACCCTTAGTAACTTAGTACCCTGTACCTACTTGGAAACCAAGGATTAATGGTCGTCTTCTGTTCTAGTTGAATCACTTCAATAAGATATACTCACTCCAATATATATATTTTTTTAATATACAAAGCATTAGAGCAACGTTAGGAGATGTAGCCCCTTCATAGCCAGTCATGAACAACGGGTTCATATACCGTTTGTACCCTCAGGATCCTGGAGCCTATATGCACTGTTGGTTTGGAATCAAGGTTTTCCAACTCCTGTAGATGGATCCTCCATATCCACCAACCCAGTTAAAGCGCCGGACATTCGCATCATGTTTAGAAGAATGAAAGTTTTTATCAGGATGGGGGTTGTGGAGATTATTACGTTTTTGATTGAGATCATGAACCGATTGTTGTTAGACCACTACCTTTGGAAACCTGGAAGCACTGGACGGCCGTTTCGTCTTATTGTATGACTCCTCAGCAGTGCGCAGCCACGATCCCGCTCGCCGGATTCGAACCCAGGGCACTCGGTCTAGCGCGCGAACGCTTAACCTACTGGACCACTGAGCCGGCATCCAATGGTGATAGTGTCTAACATCAACCAATCCATGAAATTGCGCGATCAACTTCCATTGTACTGAGGTAGATACCTGTCTCTACCCGACACGGAATAGCTCCACTGATCACGGCTTCTCACTAGAACTCTGAGAATTCCTTCACGAAGTTAGTCACTAGTGAGTACATGTTGATTATCAGTATGGGGGTTGTGGAGATTATTACATTTTTGATTGAGATTATGAACCGTCCAGTGCTTCCAGGTTTCCAAAATTGGTGGTCTAACATCAATCTGTTCATGATCTCAATCAAAAATGAAATTTTTATCAACGTAAAATAGGTGATTAGAATTTCTATGAATACACAATCACATCAGTCATTTATATTCATAATATAAATATTGAAAATAATAAAAGACAAGAATGTATTTCGTGAATCATACGACTATACAAATCAATGTATCACATAATAATGCACCAATGTAAACAAATTGATACTATAGTATTCAATTACAGAGAAAACGGACCCAAGAAAATTAGTCATCCTGTAGTTGTGGTGATGGGATTCAGTATTTAGTGAAGGAAATTTAAAAAAAATACAAACTTTTATTATGACTAACCTTGAAACCAAAAGCTGTTAACTTCAGCACAAACTCCACAGTAAATACACCAGTAAATATCATATTTAAATAGTCTAATGCATCTGCATAAGCATTTGGTTGTCCTTCAACCTATTGTATGATTGAAATAAAACAATCCTCAATCGAAATATTTATACAAAGAACAAAAAGCGACAAATCGCAACAGTCATACTGAGTTATTTGTTTGGGCTTCATTTTCAGAATGTAAAATTCCTATTGAGTATAGCATTATAAGTGTATCTAATATCCTTTGGACTAGTATCAATGTGATACACAACATATTTATTTAGTGGAATCCAGGACTCGCGTTTTGTAACAATAAATATAAATTTCAATAGTTAAGATCATGAGTCAACTGAAGCTAGACCACAATGAAAAACCTGGAAGCACTGGACGGTGGAACTCCTCAGCACTGTTCATGCATGACCAATGCTTCCAGGTTTTCCATGATGGTGGTCTCCCTTCAATTGACCCGCATCTTAGAGTTGATGTTCACTCTAAGAGTTGAACTCAGTACCGTTCACTTTAAACACCATTACGTTATCCATTTAACTACTGAGTTCTGATAGACTTGGCATTGTTTATATCAATCATCCCATTGATGATTCGCATTACAATTGATCAGTTTCTTATTGACATATGTGTGCAAATTGTGCTTAAAATGCTTATGAATTAAGTCAATATCAAGACAATATGCACAGAATGCACATAAACTAATAAATGACTGATCAATTGCAGTTCTAAACATCAATAGAAAAATTCAATTAAACAATACCAAGTGAATCCAATGGATAATTTTGTTAACAACTCGATCTTTGTCTCCAAACAACCAACTTTAGTTAATAGGGTGACAAACATATATACATTATTATCATTAGAATTTTATACTATTTGTTGCTATATAGAATTAGTAGTCCTACAAATTTAATCTGCTCACTTTGTTTTCTTATTATTATGTAACTATTATGTCTATGTACATTTGAAACTGAATGAAACGAATTGATCAATAATGTGAATAATAAAATGAATTATAGATTAGTTGAAGTTAAACATTAACATCGTTGGATGTCGGCCAGATCGGTGGTCTAGTTGGTTAAGCGCATAATGTGAGTTTGACAGGTCCTGGACTCGAATCCTGCGAGGTGGTATTGTGGATGCGCACTGTTGAGAAGTTCCATAATAAGACGAGACGGCTGTCTAGTGCTTCTAGGTTTTCCATGGTAGTGGTCTAGCTTCAATTGACTCATGATCTTAACTGTTAGAATCATGGACAATTTATAAGTACACGTAACTAATAAAACAACTATAAGTAAGTTATTATTTAATTGAAATAACTATTCGATTTCTTTGAACAAAAACAAAACATGACCCAGTTTTGTTTGATAGAATAAAAATGAATAAATTACAAAAGAAATCGATTTGACTGTTCAAAGAGTACAACAACTGAAAGTTTACATTATGTTTTATAAAAGTTTAAATTCACTTCTTAGTGTTGTTTTATTTGTATCTTTCAAATGTTATTTAGAACTGAAGTTGATCAGTCTTGTGTTGGTATATGTGTATCCTGTAAGGATTGTCTCGATATTGCCTTAGATCACAAGATTTATAAATGCATAACGCAATGGCGTTTGAAACGAAAGGTACTGAGTTCACGTCTAAGAGTGAACATCAAATCTGAGATACAGGTACATCCAGCTGACGATATACCTGCATTCCAATGATGATATTTACATCATGAATAACAGCCAGATCTTTGCGTTTCAGCTAGTCAATGCGTTATTCAATTAGTTATTGAATCTAATTATCAAAATATGTCCCGGAGTTCACTGTTAATCACTATCAACTTTACCTAAAAATCATTATGACTCAATGACAATATCAAGACAATCTCCTTAAGATTCAAGTATCTCGAAGGAGATTGATCACTGATGATCTTCAACATCAACAATATGATGCTTTTAACACTTACAAGTTAATTAAAGTAATCAATGATTTTTAATAAGCAAATATGGAATGTGGTTAGTAGTGCGATCCAAACAGGACGAAATGCGCATCCTAGATTCCACTGATAGCTACTATCCATCTTTAACTTGTAAAGTTTCATTTGCACATTCATAACACTCTTAAAAAAAAACTTATCGTTAACCACTTGTGATAATCTTAACATAAAATGACTAATGACTAACAATGATGGTAATTCCCAAATTGGAAACATCGAATAACCATTAATGAGTGATGAATAAATGGCGTATAAATAAGAAGTGTCTAAAGTAACATTATTTTTTTTTGAAAAATTGAACTCTGTCTTTCTTTGTATTGAGTTTTTTCGGTTCTTTGTAATTACCTAGTTTTTTTATGTGTGGGCATTTCATATTCTTTTTGGTAGAGTTTTGTTCTTTGAGCTAGATGGTTTGATTGTAGAGGTTTCATCGTTCTATTGAACGATATCATCAGCATAAATTTCAGGTAGATAAAAGTTTCATGATCAAACCATCCAGCTTACAGAACAAAACCTTACGAAATTCATCTACTTGAACTACAAATCTTCTCCACCATTACATATTGTTTTATGCAGTCGATTTAATGATATTATATACTTTACTTAATGTAGTATCTTCAAACAATAATAATCATACAAAACAGGTATGCACTCAATAATAATAAGTAATTTAATAATGACGTGGTGGTCGGGCTTGCCTATCGTGATGAAGCAACCGAGCTATACTGGCTGGAACAATAGTTCCTCAAGGTCCTACTATGCCAGACAGGTCGATTGAAGAGCGATAAGACTAAACGCAACAAACTCAAGGTCTGAAGGCGAAGTCGTACTGCTGATTGTACTGAGGTGTGATGGCAGTAAGGTGTTTCCTTCAGACAATCAGCATAAAAAGCAATACTGCCTTCCAACAAGGAGGGTGGCGTTATAAAAAAGATCGACCTTAAAAATGCACACCTCGCCTTATCTCACGGTTATCCGTCTCCGACGGTAAGGTTTCAACAATTACGGCGTTAACACGAAAATTATTCACAAAAAGGTCGTGTACGACCGACCTCAAGGAGTCTTTCAACTAACCATTCTACAAGTGATTCTGTTCACAATAAACTTTTTCGATTTTTTTTCTTCTGTTTTTAAAATATTTTATTTCAATGTATCTTACATAATACTTTTAATGTAATAGATTAATTTGGATAACTCATTGTTATTATGAATGAATGAATGAAAGAATATAAGTGATTTTACATGATCTGTCTTGAATATCGTTTATTTCTTCAGATATTCTCAGCAACAACAACGACAACGACAACAACAACAAGAACAACAACAAAGTTTAGTTTTTAATCTCTACATGTTTGAAATAATAGAACAATAAGCCTGTTGATCTAATGGTAAATTGTTTATACTGTATTGTATGATCAGAATTACATTTAATTAAATGGTATAAACCTATGAAGTCATAAAATAAGAAAGATTCATTCAGTGAAGAGTTCTCTTTTCAGCGAATTCATTTACAAAGATGTACAATCGCAAATATATATATACGTATGTTTTGCTTTCTCAGGATGATAATAAACTTATGCTCATATAGAGCTAAGTATATAGGTCATACGATGTGTACTTTATTCAAAAGAATTCAAGAACATTGTCCGACATGGCTAAAAAGAGAAGGAAACGGTTCAATGAGAAGTTCAATAATCGAACACCTTGTGAATACTAGTCACTCGATCAAGATAGACTCTACGTTCATAGTCATCTACAGGGTAAGTAAAAGTCATTCAATGGTATTTATATTGCATCTTCTTAGCATTGCCAAAGCAATAGCTATACATACGGGGAAATCAGAATTGTTAGTCCGAAAGAGATTGGTACAACCTCTTATTCTATCATGAACTTAATGTCATTTAAATTTTTTTTTCTCTATACTCTTCTTCCTTTATAGCCATCTGCTACCCCTTCCATCTACTCCTTTAATCTTTTACACCTCCAACTGGTTTATTTCTGTGTTTGTTTTTAATGATCTTTCTGATTACATTTTATCATATCATGCTAAACTATCCTTTCTCAATGTCAATTTCCCTATCTATCTTTTGATAAGTACTTAAGCCATTAACAATCAAACGATTATTGATGACCCTATTTATAAAAAACAACCTTTGTTTCTTCTATCTTACTGTCACCATGTATAATAGAAGTTTATTATCAGTATTATTATCATCCTGAGAGAACAAAACATTTTGTATATGTGTTTGTAAGTGTACAGCTTTGGAAATGAATTCATCGAAAACGAGAACACTTCACTGAACTAACCATTCTTATTCTTTTTAATACTTTCAGAGAACAATGTAACCGCATATTATCTTTGTAATATGACATTTTTGTATTTTCTATGATGGTCTACCTCCAATTAACTCATGATCCCAACTATTAACATTACTATGATCTCCACAGAAACACCGCTTCTGATATTAATGGACATATGCTTACTAGTGACTGGTTCCAAGAGATATTTCCTCGAGTTATGTTGTGAGATAGTAACTCATTGAAGACAATAGTGAATGTGTCGCTCAAATTCGTGGATTAGTTGAAGTTAGACATTAACACTGTTGGATGCCGGCCAGCTCAGTAGTCTAGAGGTTAAACAATTGCACGCAAGATTGATAAGTCCTGGGTTCAAATTTCGCGAGGCCAGATGTTAAATCACGAACTTATCCCAGCTAATCAACCACCAAAAACCAAGATGCATTGAACACCTTTTTAATCTTAATACTGAGCTAATCCATAGTATGCATCCACAATCTTCCTACAGAGAGTCTAATTCACAACCTTTGATCTCGTGCGTAAATGTTAAACCTTTAGACCATTCAATAGTGTTCATTTTGAACTTTAAGCAATTGATAATATGACATAACCACTACTTATCACGTAGAGTAAATAACTGTCTCACATTCAACACTTCAAAACTCGGTTAGTCATGTCTTCTCATTAACATTTCCAAAGTTGCATCTTAATATGTCCTATAATAGGATGAAATCGCCATCAAACAGTGCTTCCAGGTTTTCCATAGTGATTACTATCATATCCATCCACCAAA